GGTCGAATCAACTCCCTCGGGGACTACCTGGACAATATACGATAGGAGTGACCCGAAGACACCAAAAGAGGGGCTCTAAGAGATTTATCTCCCTCCTAGGTCAAAAGCTCAATACATGAAAATGGAAACCCAACTTATGCCATTCATGAAAACATCCATCAATTAAGTAAAATCATCAATCAATCACGGAATGTGTCACATACATCAACAGTAACCCAAATCTAGACCTAGGGTTCTTAAAACCAAGAGAAGAGGGTGAGTTTCTAGAGAAAGAAGAGAGGGATTACAAATTTGAGCTCAAGATCTTCTTCTTCTTCTAAGCTAGAATCCTTGTCTTCAAGATCCACCCAAGCCTCGAATGATGCTCCAAGAGAAGAGGGTGAGTTTCTATAGAGAGAGGGGAGAGATTACAAAGAAACCTATAGATCTTCATCTTCTTCTTTTAGGCTTGATTCCTAGCTTCCAAGCTTGATCAATGCCTTCGATTAAGCTCCAAAATCACTCTCTCTCTCTCTCTCTCTCTCTCTCACTAGAACCCCCCTTTAATGTTTTGGGTTGAAACCCTAGAGAAAGAAAGTGTCCCCCCTCCAAAAACCAGTTCCCCCTTCTTCTTCCTTTTGCTTATGTTTTTATACCCAGGTCGAGCCCAGTTTACGACGTGAACAACTTAACGTGCCTTGTCGCAACTTGTGGATGCTTCATCCACCTCGACCTCGTCCTCATCTCGGACTCCAGTAGCACCTTCTTCTTCCACCTCAACCTCCATTCCTTTTTCTTCAATTTGCTCCTCCCCATGGGAACAATCAAGATTTTCCCTTTCTTCAAAGTTCACTTCCTCTTCCACAACCTCTACTCTCACCTTCCCATCCAAATCTTCAAGCACGGTTTGGAGGGCAAGATGCCATGCAAGATCACAGAAAGGATTCTCTTGCTCCTCCACACTCCTGACTTGGTCTTCAAAGTTGCTCTCGAGAAGGGGAAAGTGATGAGAGTTGCCAATGCAACCTTCTTGTTCACCCTCACCACGGGAGCTCTCTGGCGTGAGTTCGTCTTGCTCCACACGGTTGTCATTGATCGCTCCTTCAATATCCTATTTCTCCTCCAGTGACGAGAGGCGATAACTTGCACAAGCACGTGCCACATTCTCTTCTAATTTCAAACCGGGAGGATGGAGGGGTTGGAAATCCGTGTTGGAGCATGCTCTTTAAAAATTCTCCACGGCAAGCTCTAACTTAGACTTCACTTCGGGTTTTGGGAGGTCCAAGTTCGAGCACCCTTCATCGGTGCCTCAAGCAAACCGCTCCACCATGAGCTCCAATTGGCTCTTTTGCTCCGGTTGTAGAGTCGCAAATTTTCTTGAAGATTGCCCCATGAAGGCTTCCATGGCCAACTCCAACTTGGATGTCTTCTCGGTTTGAGGAGGGAAGTTTTCTTCATATGGGGAAGCTTCTTGGTACCCCCATTCGTATGTTTGTTCTTCTTGGAAGGGAGGTTGATCATAGAACCCAGTTCCTTGGCTTCCACCTTCTTGGTCACTCCATGAAGCTACAGGGTACCCCCATTCGGGTGCTTGTGGATACCCCTATATGATGTAGAAGCCATTAGGATTCATGATTCAACCTACAACAACAACAAAAAAACCAAAATCAAACAAACACAAACCACCCTTCAAATCGAAGAGTGGGTCAACAAACACAACACAAAACAAAACAGCTAAAGTAAAGGCCTAAACCTTTTTCAAATAACCTAGAATAGTTTCCCGGCAACGGTGCCCAAAACTTGACTCGTTCTAAGTACAACACCGCGATTGATGGCCAAGTATAATCGTCGACCGGGTGTAGCATAAGGCAAGCAAGCAATAAGAATTTATCATACCACGGGGATCTAGGCTTACCCTACTTCATGTTTAGGGTTCATTATCTAGCCAACCTAGGATAGTGATTAATAAGACTAAACTAACTAACCTGGACTAACCACTAACCTAGATAATTACAAGGTTGGGAGCTCTTTTGGGTTGAATCATCCTAGGTCTGTTCTTTGGATCGATGTTGGGTATCCTCCTAGCTCGATCGACCAACTACACTACCGTTGGAGATGGACTCCCTTGGGAACGACCCTGAACGGCGAATCGATGGATGGGTAGTGCTCTATTCAACCTAGGGTTTCGTATAATAATAGGAGACTGGTCAAATCAACTCCCTCGGGGACTACCCGGACAATATACGATAGGAGTAACCCGAAGACACCAAAAGGGGCACTCTAAGGGGATTATCTTCCTCCTAGGTCAAAAGCTCAATACATGAAGATAGAAACCCAACTCATGCCATTCATGAAAATATCCATCAATTAAGTTAAATCATCAATCAATCATGGAGTTTGTCACATACATCAACATTAAACCCAAATCTAGACCTAGGGTTCTTAAACTCGAGAGAAGAGGGTGAGTTTCTAGAGAGAAAGGGGAGAGATTACAAAGAAACCTCTAGATCTTCATCTTCTTCTTCTAGGCTTGATTCCTAGCTTCCAAGATCTCTCTCTCTCTCTCTCTCTCATTAGAACTCTTCTTTGGTGTTTTAGATTGAAACCCTAGAGAAAGAAAGTGTTCCTCCTTCAAAAACCAGCTCTCCCTTCTTCTTCCTTTTTGGTGTTGTTTTTATACCAGGTCGAGCCTAGTTCACGGCCTCTATTCACGGCCATGAACACCTTAACTCGTCCGTGAATTCAGCATCGTCTCCAAAACACACCTCTTCACTCTCCAAGGTTCACGGTTTGTACTCAAAGCTGTTGGTTACTCGGCCGACTAATACTGGTGGCTGTGCCGGCGGTCTTCAAAGTTTTCTGTAAAATCAAGCACTGAAGACATCAAACTCAATGGTTAATGACCGGCAAAAAAGCTCGTCTATCGATCCGATCAAAACCGTATGGTATCACCACATGCGTTATCCTTTACATGGAAGCCTTGGAAACGCTATAAGCTCCCCAAACAAGAAACGAAAGAGAGGAAGCGCTCTCGTTTCACGGGATAGCAAACGTCTACGTACACAGCTAGTAAAGGTCTGGCACTTTTAAACTCCCATCGTCTATGGAGCTTGACGATTACGGAGGAAGCCCCTCATCGTTAATAGACCAGGTGTACGGTGACCCAATGAACAGTCTGGTGCAATGGTGTGGGCTATCGGCCCCTAAAAGGGAAACAGAGATGGAAACTCAGTCTCCAGTTGTGCATTTGAATACCGTTTTCTCCTATCGTTTAAAACAGACGGTTGAACAAGCAATTTTGCTCGAGTTTTTACCTATCCCCGGATGTCGTATCCGGGTGCATTGGATAGATATTGAGTGGGTGGTGGGGATGAATAGATTTGATTCCCCTCTATTGGTTTCTTTGTGAAGCAGGTGGTGTCACGCCGTCGTCTTTTCCGGACTAATGATCGGGATTGTCTGCTTGTGAATCCCACGGCGGCCGGACCTAGGGTTCCGAGGAGGGGGTTGGATATAATTTGGCCGGATATTCCGTCCATGCCTAGCAGGATATTATCCCTTAATATCTAGGTGGTTGAAAAATCAGTTTTTGATCCTATGAATCCTAACCTCTCTAAAATTCTAATCCTAGACTGAGTAGGGGACTTTGCCCTAAGAGTATAAGTGGGTTTCTTTTCACTCTATATATCCTAACCCTAAACGAGTCTCCTTCGTACGTACCAAATGACGAGACCTGTGTTTGGCGATGGAAAATATACCCAATTTTCCTCGACCGTGTCCCAACTCAGGTAACATCTTGGCCGCCCTACTTCGTGGTCCCTACCAGAGTTTTTGCTTTAATACCCCAACTGATCCTAATTCAGGGTCATTACCCTCTACCATATCGAAAATTGCGAGCTGTTAGGGACAGTTTTCCCCACTGCTACCACATATTCCTCAGTTGGTGACCCATTCTAGTGACCCAATTGATTTTCAGGAAGTAACCATGTCTCATGTAACTGAGGATCAGGTAGTCCATTTTTTGCTGGAGGATGTACAATCCTCAAAATTTTAGAGTTCGCGATCGGTGCTGGGGCGGCTATTCTCTGACAACCCGCTCACGACCGTGAAGCTGCGGGAGGGGGTTAACACCCAATGGCAAAGGAAAGACCGCATCAAAGCCTTGGTGGCTCGACATGGCCTCTTTGACTTTGTCCTCCCTAGTGAGGAGTCGAAAAACTGGATCCTCAGGCGCTCACAATGGATAATAAAATATAGAATTCTCCATGTTTGTGCATGAAATCCCACTGTCATTAAGTGGATTTTTGATGAACTCGCTATCGACCCCTTCCGAGTCTAACTGTGGGAAGTGGAGGATGATTGTTGTAACAAACAATTTGGGAGGAAAATAGTGTCTGAAAAAATTGGGAATGTCCTAGAGACTGGTGTTTTCATTAGTCCGGACTCGAAATGCAACTTTGTGAAGGTCAGAGTCTTGATAGAATTAACCAAACCTCCGAGATCTCAGCTGATGGTTGATTCAGAGGATATGGGGTGTTTCTGGGTGAGTCTACGGTACGAGCACCTGCCAAGCTTCTGCTTCTTTGGTGTTTGACCCCCCGCCACGCAAAGAAAGATATGGCCCTCATATGACAACGAAAAAGCTTGGAACGAGGCTCTATGATGAAGAAGAAGAACATCACCAATATCGAGGAGCATCCAAATCTTTCTGGATCAATAAAGACATGAGGGATCGTCAAGAACATATGGGACGTGCCAAAGTGACGAGCGAAATTGATAATGAGGAAGTAGAGGGTTCGTAAACCTCTCTCGCCATCATCATCGACCACAAACTGTGGGGCATATCAATAATCCTTCAAGGTCTACACATCACCTGTATCAGCGGTGGTGGAGTCCCCTTGGCTTTCCAATGGCGACATCTCCAAAGCTTACATTGGAACGGGGTCGTCGCGCGATGACTCAACCAAAAGCTACTGTTTCCCCTTCTCATAGGGCTGGAATTAAGAAGGCACTAAGGAAGAATGATGTTGAGGAGAAGCTGGAGCGCCAGATTGTTGTGGCTGATCCTCCTTGAAAATTATGATGATGACTTCGAGTTCCAGGGAGTTGGGTCGAATTCTGCCACTCTCCATACCGACCGGGAGCAAAGCCGACCTCCCATGGAGCCTAATCATGCACTCTTCCATGCAAATGTTGACGCTACTAAAAGGCACGAGCACTAGGCAAAGCCTCCTCCTCGCGTGTTGGAAATGGCAAGGCTGCTCGAGGTAAGCAGGTGGTTCCTGCTGCAACTAGTAAACCAAACCCGGCTGAGGGGATCCCGAAGCGAAGACTAAAAAAGGGGGATTCCCTACATACTAACTCGGTACTTGTGGGTTTGGAGTCTTAGAGGATTATTGCGCCGCCTCCGATTGAGGCTCCATTGAGCTGTACAGGAGACAAAAATGCAGTGCAAGGCTCGAGCAATTCCAATGTGAAGGAGACTCCCTCTGATGATGATGTCCAGTCTTTTGAGTTGAAGCAACATATTCCTGATGCGGCTGGAGCTAGGGTGGGGGCTGGGAAGGGACATGTCCATCAGATTGTTGTTGCACTCGAATCATGCATGATACTTACCAGCACAGGCGAGGAACATGTTGCTGGGGTTATGATACATGGTGCCCGGGGAGAAGGTGAAAAGCTTAACTCGGTGATAGACGAGTATGGGTCTAATTTATCGGAACCTTCATATGGGGGCCACAAACGCCAGCTGGAGGAGGTCGAGGGTGTAATAGGTGATGTTCCCACCCCTAAGAAGCAATTCGTGGAAGTTTCAGCGAATGTTGAAAGGTGGAGGAAGCTAGCCTAGAGTGTCCCCAACCTGATAAATGACGCTTTTGGCCTAGAATGTGAGAGGAATTGAACCATCCCTACATTCCAAACAGCTGTTGGTTTAGTTCATTGAAATAAACCGGACCTTGTTTTCTTTTCATAGACAAGATCGCGCCAGAGAGTCGTCTCCCATTCGCATAAGTTGCAGTCAATGCATCAAGAGGTCTTGTCGTAGCTTGGTCCCCCTAAGTTGATGCTTCGGTTGTTTTTTATTCAAACTTCTGTATTTGTGTTCATGTTAATGAATTGGATTATTCTTATTTCGTAATTTTCTTCTACTTTAGTTGTGTTAGCCAACTGGCTCAACTACGTGGTATTTGTGATAATTTTGATCCGTCCTTTGTGATCATGGGAGACTTCAATGTGACTCTCCATGAGAGTGAAAAAGGTGGTGGAAATCCATGGAATGCGGCGCAAGCTAATGATCTCAGGAATTTTGTTCATGACCTGGGCCTCCATGACCCTGGGTATCAGGGGGATTAGTTCACGTGGACTAATAGACGAATGAGGCTATCTGTATCCGGGAACGCCAGGATAGGGCTCTCTGCTCGCAAACCTGGAATAATTTGTTTCTCGATACCCTTTTCAAACACTTCATGGACCAAGGGTCTGATCATCGAGCACTGCTCTTATAAGATAAGCCCCATGTTCGAGATAGTAGACCGTTATTCCGGTTTGATGCACGCTGGGTGGACAACTTGGAGGTTAGAGCTATGGTTTCATATGTTTGGCAGGAGGAGATCCCAGGCATACAAATGTACTAGCCTTGGGAAAAACTTAAGAAGATCTGACATTTGCTGTATGACTGGAGTAGAGCGGGTACTACAAATTCTCTCCATAATATAAGAACCCTCCTGGCGGAAATTGAGTGGATCAAATTAATTTTTCCAATTGACTGGGATTCGGTGAGAGTTTTGGAGACAGAATTAAATAGACAATGGGAGGCCAAGGAGGTCTATTGGCAACAGAAATCAAGGGTCCGCTGGCTCAAGAAGGGCGACAAGAACACATTGTATTTCCATACGGTGACATGGGCTCAGCATAAACATAAATTTGTGGCTGGCCTTCATAATGACGCTAGGGAATGGATAATGGATGAGTGTGGCAAGGCTGAGATTGCAACTGATTTCTATCAAACCCTCTTTACGTCGGAAAAACAGGTGTTGAACATGGCTGAACAGGTGGATCAGCTGCCGATAGACTGGCGAGTTACTGAGGCTATGAATGCCAGTCTTATGGTAGAGGTTTTGCCTACTGAAGTGAGCACCACTGTCTTCTCCATGGATTCGAAACAGGCACCCGGATCGGATGGTTTCAAAGGGAAAATTTGCAAACTTTCAGGGTATAGTTGGTGACTTGGTGATTGAAGCAGTTTGCTCGTTCTTTTCAACAAGCAGGATGCTCCGTAGTTTCAATCATACCTGGCTGACTTTAATCCCGAAGGAGGATAGTGTCGAATCCATGAGGCAACTCCGTCCTCTTAGCTTATGTCGGTTCGTCTATAAAATTATCACAAAGATCATGGCGGAAAGGCTGGCTACCTTGTTGCCTAGTATCATCTCGGAAGGCCAAAATGCTTTCATTCAGGAGAGGCAAATTGTCGAGAATGTGCTTCTAGGGCATGAGTTAATGCATTATCTGAAAATTAAGTCGCGAGGTAAGAAGGGGTACATGGCACTGAAGGTTGACATGGAAAATGCCTATGGTAGAGTTGAATGACCCTTTCTCCTTGCGGTTTTGACCAAGATGGGTTTTAACTCAGTCTGGCACGACTGTATTCTCAAATGTCTCAAATCAAATTCATTCTCGGTTATGATGAATGGATCCCCCAAGGGATTTTTTACTCCCTCACGAGGACTTCGTCAGGGCGATCCGCTCTCTCCTCTTTTGTCCGTGCTTTGTACAAAGGGGTTTGCAACCCTTTTGCGAAAAGCGATTGCTGAACATGAACCGGAAGGAGTTAAGGTTGCTCCTCGGTCGTCACAGATCTCACATTTATTCTTTGATGATGATTCTTACTTGTTTCTTTGGGGATCTCTCCGGGAGTGTGAGAATTTGATCACCGTGCTTAATGAATATGAGGAACTTAGTGGTCAACGGGTTAACTTAGCAAAATCAACAGTTTGCTTTAGCAAGAATATCGTTGTACCATACCAAGAGTTTTTGGGCTAGGTCCTTGGGGTGGGGGCTGTAGGTGTCCATGATAAGTATTTGGGATTGCCTACTCTAATAGCTATATCCAAAATGGAGACGTTTCGCTATTTGGAGGAAAAGTTGTTAGCTCGCCTTCTGGGGTGGAAACAACAAACTCTGTCTTGGGCAGCGAAGGAGACCTTGATAAAGTCTGTCGCTTTGGTCTTACCATTACATATTATGTCCTGCTTTAAGCTCTCACTCTCGCTTTGCCGCCTCTTGGATAAATACATTGCTAGGTTTTGGTGGGGAGTGGAAAACGGCCAGTCAAAAATAAGTTGGATTTCCTGGCGAAACATGTGTAGAAGTAAACAAGAGTGGGGATGGGGTTTCGGCTCTTCGAGCATTTCAATCAGGATCTCCTGGCCAAAATTGGTTGGCGCATTTTGACTGATCCCAACTCTCTGCTTGCTCAGGTGTATAGGGGAAATATTTTTCGCGAGGAAGCTTCCTTGAGGATGCGTGCTCCCGTTCGTTCTAGGGTTGGCAAAGCATCCTCTTCGGTCGGTAATTGTTGAGCCATGGCCTCAGATGGCAAATTGGGAATGGCCAAGCCGCGCTGTTACTTCAAAATAATTGGGTGCCTCACCTGCATCCTCTAGCCCTTACGGTTAATCCCCGGATCTTGCCTGCGAACGGGGAGTTGACGGTTGATGCTGTCATTAATCAGGAGGAAGGACGCTGGTGTGAGTTGAGGCTCAATTAGTGATTCGACCCTCCTACTTGTAGTGCTATTAAGGAAATTCCTTTGCCGCGAGGTAATGTTGAAGATCGCCTAATTTGGCATTCCACACCTGACGGGTGTTTCACTGTTAAATCGGCTTACCATTTGGCAGTCATGCTGAACATAAAAGTTGGCCGATGGCGATCATTAGCCAGTTGGATAGATAGGTCTAGCTGGATCCGGTTGTGGGCAGCACCTATTCCCCCCAAACTGAAGGTTTTCTGTGGCAAATCTTCAACCATATCCTCCCTACGATAGAGGCTCTAATTAAAAAAGGGTCCAGGTTCATCCTCGGTGTCCAGTTTGTTGGGCGAATTCGGAGACATTGGCGCATTTGTTTCTGGAGTTCCCTGTGGCGAGGTCCTTTTGGGATTACGCAAGTTTGGAGTATCTGAGCTAGGGACTGCCTCGCCACACATTCCCTCTGTTCCTAAAAAATTTGATGAATCTCATCCGTCAACCTTAGCTGATTATGGCTGTCACTACTGTCCTTTGGAGGATCCGGCATTCACAAAAATGGGTTGTCTTTGAGGGCAAGTAGTTTGGTATTCCAGCTTTAATGTGGCAATTCCACCAGCAGTACCAGGAATGGGTCAGCTTGCAGGTCGATAGAATTTAGCGATCTCCTATCCAACCATGTGATGGCCTCAGATTGCTCTATAATATGTATGTGGGATGGGGCAACCAAAGTTGCATCTCATTCGGCTGGTGGGATGGTTGTCAAGAATCAGGCTGGGGAGATTCTCTTGGCTAAAGGGGTTCAGTTCATTGGGATTGATGATCCATTGGTTGCTAAAGTTCTCTCTCTCCGGGAGGCTATTCTCTGGTGCAGGGCATTCGGGTTTCTAGAGGTGCGCTTTGAAGGGGATGCAATGGTGATTATTAATAAGGTGAACCAATTGGATACCAGGGATAGCCGGATAGGTGCGCTTCTAGAGGAGCTTGTGGGTTGCTTGGAACTTCATAATGGATTCTCTGTGCGGTTTGTGTCAAGTAGTAATAGGGTAGCCCACTTGGTGGCTAAAAAGACCCTTCATTTGTACCCGACTAGAAGTCGTTTTTTTATTTTATGGCCTGATTAACTCCAGGATATAACACTAATATGTTTGACCCAAAAATTCACTCTCTCGTTTAGCAAGAGCTTGTCAGGGCGGCGGAAACCCTAGGTTTTCCGGGAGTAGCTATTTGACGGACACAGTGTTTTCGGATCAAATTTCTTGGAATACGTAAGATTAAGGAATCTTTGTCCTTCTCTAATATGAGTTCGCTGTTTTTGGGAGAAATCCTACTATTTTGGCTGAGCCGTGGCGCAGATGAAAGACGCTTCTTAGGGTTTTGTTGTCAAGGTTTTCTTTGCGCAACACAAGACCTACTTTCGAGTTTGGCATATCTACATCACATAACGTTACACGAAAGCTTCATGCTTCGAAAGTT